AATGTTGGAGAGGAAGACTGGGTTTTTAAAAATGACCATTTATTTGCATTATCAACTCAACTAATTGTGAACAGGTTGAACAAATAAACCAGGCCAACCTTTTTTTTTTATAATCCTTATTTTTTGTTTTCGTTTTTCCTATTTTTTCTTCTTAGTATTTTTTAGAACTTTTGATATGTTAAGTTTTAATGTCTTTTTCCTTTTATCCTTTTTTTCTTCTGTACTCTTAGCTGTTTATTAGTCGTTTATTGTTGTAGAAATTTAGTGATGTTTCAGAAGTTTACCTTTACTGTAACGTATCAAAGTCTGTATACAGCATTTGAGCAGTATAACGTTTATCATTTTGTGAATTAAAGGTATATAAAAGTCAGCAAAAAAAAATTATTCTCTTATATTTATGCAAAAAAAAAACTTACTGTTTAATCTTCTGCAAATCCTCTTTTACAATATTTCTGATTTATTTATAGAGTGCATTTTTTATTCATTATTATGCTGTCATCATTAACACATCATCGGCTCTTCTGTTAACCAGCACAAAAATTTTTTTAAACAAAATCAAGGAATTGAACAGTTAAGATATTGGGCGCTCAAGAAGCTTAGGTTTTTTATGCCGTCTAAGAGTAGTGTGTTTTAATGTTGATCATACGTCAACCTGTTGAATCAGTGAAAATTTCTGAGAAATGCAAGTGAATATTCAGATGTTCAGGGATCAGTCAAACATTAAGCCGTCAGTGAAACAATTGCGGTGTTAATAGAGGAATAAAAAACAAAAAAAAGAATAATTTTTAGGGCTGTCTAAATTCTGTTACTAAAATATGTCTGGTTTTTCTATAACAAATAAAAAAAAAAAAAATTAAAAAAATAAAAATAAAGCTGTTCTAAGTGGAAAAAATTTTTTAGGATACGATTCTGCAATATTTTTCTTCTTTATCTTCCTTGCTGGTCTATTAGTTTTACAATTTTTAAATAATTCGTATTCTTAAAACGATATGTCTGTCACCAAGTGCTGTTTTTTTGTTCTATAATGCTATTATAACAAGCAGCTTTATTCATTTTCCTTGAATAATGCATTTATTGAACATTCACATGAAAATTTAGTAAACCAAAATTGAAAGTATATACGGGGGAAAAAAATTGCACTCTTCATCCACCTGATTACGTGAATGTCCTTTTAAAAACATTATATTAAAAATTAATTCAGTTTATGTGTACAAAGAAGTGTATAAAGTTTTTTTTTTTTTTTTAAATTTTCAATCTATAGTTGATTCATTCCATCAGAAAAGATCACATCAAAATTCTTGTTGAATTGAATTAATGACTGGGTATTTTTGTCTCTATATATTTTGCTTTTTTTCTTTTCTTTCTTCTCCAAACACTGAAAGACACACCACTTACCTTCAACGTATTTGATGTCTTAGACACTGGCTGCTATTGCTAGATTCAAATTGTGTGCGAAAGAAAGCACAAAAGCTGTTTTTCAGTGGGAATTACTTTGTCTCAAAATGTTGTCAAAGCTCTGTCAACCATCGTTGTCATAACTTTTGCAGCGGTTGTAATTCTGAATCCTTCGGCTTATACGGCTGAGTGGGGGGGAG